GGTTTCTCAACCTCTTTGACTCAGACCCCCATTTGTAAATACTGATGGCCAGTTGCAACCCAGTAAACACCTTTAGTACAAAATTTATCCATAATACTTACAAAAGAAATAAATATATTAATATCTGTTTTAAAATCCGACAACCTAATTTTGAGTCATGACCCATGGGTCGAGAAATGCTTGCCAAATGGTTAGCATACTCAGACTGTGAATCCGTGGGTTTGTGGTTTACAGCTTGTTGCCGTAAAAATGCAATAATGCGTAAAAAAATGAATATCAATATTTACTTTACACAATGAACTTTAAAAAATTGAGAAAACAAATAAATATTGTCAGGTAAATGCATTTGATAGTGTACATTTTGCAGTAATATAAGCCTCTGTTAATGGGTATAGCATTCTGTATATGTATCCAAAGCCATCTCTGGCCTGTTCCAATAGGGCAACATTAACTCTCTAACTTTATAAAATTCACTACCTCTGAAGTGCATATATTGCATTTTTTTGAGTAATTTGATGTTTCTGTCTGCTACCACACTCAGGTTAAAGACTTAACCAAAAAATATTGAGTGTAGTCATTTATTTCATACATAAAATATGTGATTAACTTCAAAATTTATGGTATTGTTGTTTAATTTCTTTTTGACTCGTATGTTATTATGGAATCTGTAGCATAAAACATTTTATTCAAATATGCTTAAAAAAAACTGATAATTCTAAGTTTATCTTGTTTATACCTTTATGACCAAAACAATATGTGCTTGTTGGACTTGTATAAAATACTTCAAGGCCATTTTAATGATAACATTATAATAAGAAATTAATTTGCATAACAAACATCATTGTTGTCAAGCATGATTAAAACCAGTGAGAGATACTAAGAGTATTTAAGAAGCATTTACATAATTTTAACCCTAGAATTACTGATGGGGCTTAAAACCAATCATATTATAAAACATATTTTCTTAATTACTGATGAATCAAATTACTCAATTTCATGCAATATGTGAACCACAACAGTAACAAACCTTTAAAAAAAATACAACTATAATTTAAGGTTAAATAAGTTCTTTCATTGATAAAATTTTAACAACACTGTTTATATAATTTAATTAATTTGTTTATTAATCAGTAAAGAAAGATGCACTATTTTTACAGCTGTGGTATTGATACTGACTTATCAGCCAGCATGGAACGACCAACTCTAAATATTTCTCCATACGTTATGACAACATATTATCCATAAAGTCACAAACAGTCTAGTAAAGAGAATCTAAGTAACCAGCAGAGTAGCAAGTTTCATTAATTCTGAAAAATAAAAAGTTACAAAGTTTAAGTTTTCCTAATTCTCTTTACACTTTTAACACAACCAAAATTTGATCAAAGCTACTGCAACAATTCAAAAATAAATAAATTATGTATGTTCTATTGTTTTGACTGTAAATTATATGTAAATCTATTAAAATGCTGTGGAACTATCAATGGGAGTATAAATGTTTTTTTTTACTTGAAAACATTTAAACTATGAAGAGAATTCCTTTTGTTATAATGCACTTCGAATAAACTCTAATTTGTCTTGCTTTCAAATCAAACACACTACTGAAAATTAAACATTTTATATAACTTTTAATTTGCAATTATAATTTTATTTCTCAATCAAAATCACGTAATTCTCACATCATTTACAATGCATATACTCAAAGAAAAAGGGGAAAAAAAGTAAATTTTCCACCAAAATGAAATGAATTTAAGGGCATGTGGTGGTGCACGACAAACAGAAACAAGAGACTGGCACGATTTATACTATTTTCTTTGAAATCAGCAACTCTACAAAGTAACCTCTACCCACCATCAGCGCTTCGACAGGTACAAATACTCAAGCCACATCAACCAAGAAGCATCCACAGCAAATGCCAGTTATGTCAGACAAGTTCATCCATATATATCAACCACAGAATGCACAGATATGTCTACCCAAACCACACCAGTCTTTAAGAAATCACAGAAGACCAAAACAGCCCAGACACTACAAACCTCTACGTGATGCTTCAGTAGCCACTGACAACCCACAAATGTCCAGCAAAAAAGCATCTCAGTCAAGAAACTCTAAGAAGGACTGCAGACCATAAACAGACAAACAACCCATCAACAACTTTTGTGAATTACTTCACTCAACCAAGATGTCCCAGTCACCTTACACCCGTATGTTCATCAGCAACGACTCTGACACCTAAGATTTCGACCAAGATTTTCCTTGCCTTCCCTCAACTCTCCACTCCTCAAGTTTATTTCAAATGTTTAACTTACTAATCATTTTTATTTCTTCCCTCTAGCCTTTTCCAGGCACAGTTGGGGCTTTCTTTTCGGCACCCTGGCCATGAATGTGGGTTTTCCTGGGATACTCCTATTTCCCCCACAACAAAATTTTTCACCAGGCTTAGGATCTACAGATCACAGCCCTGAGAAGTAACAGTACCTAGTTGCTTAACTTTTAAATCTTAAATTTTTTTTTATAAGTTTAGTAGCTCAATAACATTTATCATTAGCATCTAGTAGTAATCAATCAGTTCTTGTTTAATTCTATGATTTCAATTTTATCTTTCAAGTTAACTCAAATCTTTGTTCATGATCAGTTCTGCTATTTTAATGTAAAAAATATCATTGGAGCTGGTTGCTTTCATCATGGCTTTGGGCTTTTTTAGCAGTCTGTTTCTTCTTTGCAGTTAGTTATTTTCCAAAATGTACCACCGAATCTTCAAGCCTTCTCCCTCTTCTCTGCAATTTCCTATTTTCAACTGGCAATTTCATGGCTTTTCCAGACTCTTGAGGCATCCACGACACTTCAATTTCATACTCTATATATATATATATATATATATACACCTGCCAAGTTGTTCACTCAAGAACCATGTGCTAACATCCTCCCCAACCACCCTGTTAGTAAAATCTAACAATGTCACTTAGCATCACAACCACTAGTTTAAACATTTACCAGTTTCACTTAATGAATAAACCTGAAAGATTTAAAATCAAAATACCTACCAAGAATATTTTGTTGATCAATTTAAGCTGTTCCACCCACCCAAAGAAACACAAAGCTAGCCCTTGTCATTCAAATATTTATCAAGCTTGCCCTTAAACTCCCTTGAATTTAGTGTATCCACCACATATGAAGGCAACTCATTCCAAATGCCAACCATCCTATTAAAAAAAATAAAGTTGTCTTAGTTGAAGATGATCCCTACCCTGTCACAATTTGTACTTTTTTAACCCTAGTCCTACCATTCTCACTATTAGGTATGCTAAAATATGACACATCAACACTGTAAATTCCTTTAACAATCTTAAAAACCTCAATCAGGTCCCCTCTAATTTTCTTCTTTTTTCAAAAGAAAACAACTTATGACATTTCCATCTGAGGTATCATCCCAGTAGCCCTTCACAAAACCCTTTTCAACAATTCAATGCCCTTCCTAAGGGAAAAGAGCTCAATAATGAACACAATACTCCAATTATGGCTTAATCAGTGACCTATGAAATGAAAGTATAACCTCTTAAGACATTTTTAAGTTCAAGAAATCTAGATATTTATTATTAGTTCAAGAAATCTAAAATATCCTTACTTTGTAGAGCTGATGATAACAAGCATGAAATAAAATTCTAACAATCCTTGTTTCAGTATTTTGTAATACTGCGAATCCTCAAGTCTTTTTTTATTGACACATTTTCTTTATCTTAACAACAAAGATGAATGGACTATACTCTGAAACAAAAATCAGCTTAATTCATAATATCTATATACATAGATCTAATCTACTTGCATGGTACACTGGCCAGATACTTTACTGCAGTTCATGATATATACTACTCATATTCGTAAGCAAATGTTTATGATTAATGGTCCTGAATAAAATACATAATTAACATCTTTAAATAAAGCATTAAGTTTAACGTACTTTATCAACCATCCTGTTTTTATTTGATAGAAAACATTACGCTAAATTAATCCATTCATAAAACATTGCCAAAGAATGGTTGATGGTGTGTTCTCATTATGAGTTATTACACACTATCTACAGAATGACAATGATGTTGTGTGCTGAATGAAGTTCTTCATTGCTGATGACAAAACTTTAAAAAAAATCCAGTTTATACTGGGACATTTTGTTAAAGTGTATAACCTTTCAAAATGGATAACCCGTTTACTATTTCCCAAAGGATCTTAATGAAGCCTTGTGAAAATCAGATGAACGTATGGATAAGTTCAAGGAAGTTAGAGAATTTTATAAATTGGGAAGGAATAGCGCCACTATCTTCAACACATTCTCATTTCTACCCAGTTTTGAGAAGTTCAATTGAAAGCTGTAAGAGGAATTGATGGCACAATATACATCACTAATAATTCATGATAAAACTACATTTAAAAAGAGGTACTTTCCTCTAAACAGAATTATTTTACTAAATACCCATTAATCTAGACTGATAAAAAATTACTTAAGATATTTATAAGATGGAAGTTTGTTTTTTATTTCGTGCAAAGCTACACGAGGGCTATCTGCGGTAGTCGTCCCTAATTTAGCAGTGAAAGACTAGAGGGAAGGCAGCTAGTCATCTCCACCTACCGCCAACTCTTGGGCTACTCTTCTACCAACGAATAGTGGATTTGACCATCATATTATAATGCTCCCACAGCTGATTGCGAGTCAAGTGCCCTAACCATCTGGCCATGCCAGGGCAAAAGTTGATAAAAATTAGAGAGATGAAAACAAATGATAGTAATGTTGCTGATGTTTTAGTCTGTAAACCTTCTTCAAAAAACTTTAATTTCAAAAACAGTTGTACAGCATTCTAAATATGCACATTAACAAATATACAGAAACAAAACCACCTCCTGACCACAAAGTTTTCATCGACACCACAAGAACAACACTAACTATATTCCTCTTATAATACCCTATTGTCCCACAATTTCTCAACAGATTAATAAAATCATCTTTGACATTTTTCATATTTTATAGATAGAACAACCCTATAATTAAGGATATTTTTCCTAACAGACCTACTGTTGCTTACACTCAAAATGTATGTCTCCACAATATTCTTGAACTTTTCATTTTATCTGCTAACAAGGACAACACTACTCCTGAATGTTCTCCATGCAGCCAATCTCATAGTACAACTTTTGCTCGCATCAATAGCCGTATTCTGATTGTTGGGCCTAAGGATAAACATTATATTAATCCAACCTCCCCCCTGTATATCATAGTTGGCTATATGCTTAATAACCTGCGACTTGTGTTAAATTTTATAAATTGGAAAGACTGGATGCATAGTCAGCAAACAATTCACATAACTGATGTTAACTCGAATAAACCCATTCCCCAATATTTTAATATTGTGTCGTGGTACTAAAATCTGCTCCAAAGAACAAACAAATGAGAGAATATGAGGAACAACTTTATCCCCTAATGGCTTAAATGAAAAACTTCTTTTAATTTTACCTAGATTAGTGTTATCATCATATTGTTTTTTTTTTCCAACAATGTCGTTAGACACATTTATATATACAAAACACCGTACAGCTATTCTGTGTTTATGTGATTAAATGTTTTTTAAAGAAGAGTTTAGGCCCAAAACAGTAACCACATTATCATCATTTGTTGTACCATATATTTACTTCTTCCATCTTTTAAACATTTTAAACAATTTCTTTATCAGTTTAAAATTATTTTTCTGCATTTTAACCCAGTTTTTCAACAAACCATTAATCTAGGTCCACTACCCCTTTTGTTCTTCTGCCAAGTTGCGAGTATGACTATCTTTAGTTATTTTCCATCAGTAAGACAAATGCTAAAGGTGCATTTCATGCACTCATCACAATTTTTTAATCTACAGTGCTGTTTTATCTCTGTCCCTCATCTGCTTGCTTAATTCACTGAAGTACATTTCCACAATGTTTTCAAACGTCCTTTATAACCATATCTATCTTTTAATGGACTCTTTCTTGAAGAAGGCTGGTAACTAAAAAATTTTTTTTTTCATTTCCTGAGGTGGTGTGTTTAAATGTAACATGGTATTGTAATATGGCTGCAAATGTCACTAACAGTGAAGGTGTCCAACTGATGAATTCATGCATTCTAATCATTGTAAGTAAGAATGATATATTAAAATATCTATATTAATTACTTGGTTATGTTTAGTTCTTATCTCTAGTTAGTTTGCCTTAATCAGAAATTAATGATAAAAGCTTTTTTCACTCTGTCTACAGAATCAGTTAAAAAAAACAGTAATGGCACCTCATTTAATAATTATCAAACAATATCTATGGCAAAAAATGCTGGTGTAGTTTATTTACTGACTGAATTACGTGTATAAACTGTCCAAAGATTCAGAAATAACGTTGCAGTGCTGTACTGAGTGCTGACTGGACTACCAAGTATTACCCATACATTCTGAAAGAACAATGACATGGTTTAGTGTACTGACTACTGGGTACATTATCAAAGTTTATCAACCACATTATGAAAAAAAACTTGATGAACCATGTAAGAAGATCAAAACAATAAAAATAAAACATGAAAGAATTCTAAATTACAAACTTTTCAAGTTTGCTAGATTTAAAGATTTTACACTATAAACAGATATTAACAGAGGTCAGGCTCCAAAATGTTTGTACACATAGCCATTCACAATCTGAGTTTGGACATAAGTCTGTTTGAACATCCTGTTAACAAATGCTGGTGGTAGGTTTAGTCATTTCCTTCTACTCTGATTTCAATACCGAGAAACACGGTGGTTAAGAGTCAGTTCACTGTTTTTACCAATATCACATCACAACTTACAAATTTAGCTTAAATCAGCTTTGTTCACACATGAAACAGAATGAGCGAGATGCACAGCTAATAATTTGAAACTCCTAAATTTTAAACTACTCTTTTTTCACCTTTTGGCGTAGCGTTGAATATAGTCTTTAACTTTGAGCTTAAACCCGTCCTGAAAAAAACAATAAAAAACAGCTATATAATAATAATTAACACTAAGCATATTAGCTAAATGATTAAGAATGAAAACTGTGACTGAACTGAAAAATTTTCAAGATTATCAATATCTAACACACAAGCATCAGATTTGAAAATATTAACTGGCAGCTCTATGAAGACATACTTGCAATTCAGGGACAACGTACATATAAAAATTTAACAATGTAGAAGATAATTGTTTTAATTTCATGATAGTACAAATTAAAATAAACATGTCATCTCAATGAATGCCTTCAGCTTAATATTATTTGATCTTGCTGAAAGTTTCAGACCAGTAGCCCATATAATAAGAGCACTCGTGCAAAATTTCAGAAACATACCTCAAACAGTAAAATGTTATCAAATGTTGTCCATTTATAGGCCAAAGATGGTATCTATCTGGTTGAAATTGTAACCATTAGCTGATTTGTTCCAATTGATTAAAACAAGTACACAATTGTTTGTCAAACCTAGCACAATATTCACTAATGAGTATGTCATTTTACTTTTGCAGGTTCGTTCTTTGTACAGTAAACTTACATGCAACAAGTTACTGGGAAAAGCATAGCACAAGAACATCATATTAAACTGCTTGGAGATACAGACCCCCAAACACATATAGACAAACAAAATCACCTCAGTATTAGTTGTGATTTTTGGGCATGTGGGAAAACAAGAGTTGGCTGTTGTTTTTTTTTGTCTGATAGATATATGCCTGGCTCATAAAGGTCAATCTAGCTTTCAACTTTCCACTAAATCAAACTTTAAACTATGAAAACATTATAATAACTAATAATTTTTAAATGTTATCAAAGATCTGAACATCTTGGCCTACAATCACCAACAATTCTTCTTCAAGTCAGAGAGACTACCCTTTTCTTCCTCATTAACAAGATTATTGTTAAATATTAAAAGAAAAAAACAATAGCTTTACTACAAAAAATGCATTACACACAGCAAGTAAAAGGCAAAGGTTTCATTAGCAAAATTTTGAAGCCTTTTCTAGATAAGTTTAAAAAAATATTAAGATATTAAGGTCTACTGCACATCTAAAAGAAATTCTAGAACTTAAGGTTTTCCTTTACCTTTATACGTGTTTTTTACTACATCAAAATTATACAGGCAAGTTGCTAAACCTTTTGTACAATGCCACTTTGCATTATATCTAGATGAATTATTATATTTTGGTTTTACAATGAAAATTTTTTCATAATGTCCAATTTTTTTTCATAACTTTAAGTTATGATAAAATACAACAATGATAAATAGACTCAAATTTACATGGTTGTCTAGTGCACTTATTTATATCATTTGCTCTTAAAATGGCAAATCACTTTATACAACTTAAAGGACGACAAATTATTGACATTACCCATTTAATTGTAGATGTGAAAAAGGTTATTATATCATTCATTCAGTTGCCCAAAAACAATGCACTTTTTATTTCATCATGAACTTCTTCGAGGACTGGAAAGTATATTTATGTTCAAATGTGTATATAGTGAAAATATGAAGCTTTAAGCTGCCAATACACCCTAAGAAGAACATCACAATATCAATATTGCTGTTGTTTGGGATTTCACTGCTACAGATGCTGGACATGTATAACTAGTACAAGCGTGCTCTATCATGAACATACTCTGTTGGAGCTTCAACATTTTTCAAAAGTGTGAAGAAAAAGATGACAAGGTAAATGTTCAAATTGTAATTGTGCATATGTTTCATTAATATTTTATAAATTTTCTTTATATTTAAAAAAACAACAGAAATTATATTACATTATTTATAGCTTTTTATTTATCTATAACCCAAACAGTGCAACTTCCACACTGCTCTAGTGAAGTTGGTTTTACAATGTAAGCTTTTATTTTTACCCTTGTAAATTACAACAAATGTTTTAGCATGTAAACTAAGCTTTCATACAATCATTTTGTAATATTAATTTATTTTATAAACACATCATATAAACCAAAATTATTTTATTTTTCTGGTTTATGGATGGAAAGACTGTATATAAAAACCTTATTTCAAATAGCACAAGAAAAAGAAAATAGCAAACACTTGAGAAAAGATAGAATACCAAAACTAAAAACATTTGGTCATGGAATTATTTGGCAGAATGCATAAAACAGTAATACTGTGAAAGAACTGAAAGGATACTCAAGTACTGCCCCCTACCATACATTTGGTGATCATAACAAGTGCAAATCATATTACTGTTCTCATCCAAAAATAACTGACAACACAACAAACTATTTAAATATGATACCTCTTAAAATCTTTAGCCAAATAATGACTTGCTTATGCATTAGTCAGAAAGGCATGCCATCATATAAGCAATTGAACAAGTAACTTAGCAGAGACTTGTATATTAGAGTTTATTGGTGGCAAACAGGTTTGTAGATTAAAATGAAGATCTTACAATAAACAAGGATTTGCTGCAGGTTTAGCTTTCCAACTTGGATAATCATGGCATATAGTCTGGCCTGAAAATCCAGCACCACAAAATGTCCATTTACTCTTTTAAAAAAACATACAGCTAGAGCTCAAACTCAAAGAATGAGGGTTTGCAAGAGACTTCTAACTCTCAAAGCAAAAAGAGATTCATTAGAAAGTCAAGAAACTTCTACTTGCATACAACAATGGAAAGAAAGATTATAGACCTGAATCAGAAAAGACAGTCTCAAGAGTTCCTAGAACTAAGAGACAATCAGCTAAAAAAAGTTAGATAAGAACAAAAAACTGAAATACAAAAAGAACAAAAAGGGTCAATACAACAATTTTACGGAAATAAGAAAGGAAAAAAATGACTAACAGCTTCTCATTCTAGAGAGATTTTTAAGATGAGGGACACCAAAGTGAAGCATGTTTTATACAGTTTGTCTTTCTCTAGTATGGTAAAAGGTAAAAAAAAAATGCTGTGATTGAGTATTCCACTAAAACTGGAAATCAAATGCAGGAACATGGCCTATTTGTGGACAAACAGAAAGGGCACTTAGTAACATCTTCAGATGCCCTTGTATGGTCTGATGGCATTAAAGATGTCAAATGTCCACTGAAAGTAAAGGAAAGACTCCCTTACAGATTGCTCTGTCAATTAAAGATTTTTGTTACACAACACTTGAAAATAAAAATGAAAGATATGCATACATATTATTGCCAAATACAAAGTCAACTACATATAGTTCAAACACTTTAGCAATTTCAATACTTGAACACCCCTCAATATGAGTATCACTACAGATGAAAGTTTTGGCCAAAAGGATGCTCCTACACGAGAACACTTTTACTTTAGCAATTTCAATACTTGAACACCCCTCAATACAAGTATCACTACAGATGAAAGTTTTAGACAAAAGGATGCTCCTACACTACAACACTTTTACTTTAGCAATTTCATTACTTGAACACCCCTCAATATAAGTATCACTACAGATGAAAGTTTTAGCCAAAAGGATGCTCCTACACTAGAACACTTTTATTTTAGCAATTTCATTACTTGGACACCTCACAATACGAGTATCAAATGAATCACTTGAGATGAAAAGATGCCCCTAAACTGGAACAGTTTTATTTTCAAGCAATTTTGCCAGAGGTTATAGAATGACAAGAAGCATGGTTTTATGAGAACCACACCATGCTCTTTAAAAGAAATATGGAAGCCAAAAAAAAAAATTAATGAAAAATAAACATTTCTAAATACTTCAAAAATAGTAAATATCACTTATATATTGATTGCGATTCTGTACATTCTCCTATTTTGATTTCTGAGATATGGTAAAATGGAGTTATATTGGACAACTTTATGGAAAATGTATTTAGTCTGACATTGATACATTTTTGTGAATCTTCTTTAGAAACAAAATTGAGTCAAAAATCCTCTCAAACAATAAGACCTTCCAGCCCAGTGTCCATTGTAAGTACATTTTATTAAATGATTAACCTGGTGACCATAAATGTCAAAGATATTTGAGGTTTTATTTTTGAAATATCAAGGCATCATCACTGTGTACAAATGTTTTTTTATTCATTTTATAGGATTGTACAATAATACATATATGTTAGATAACACACATTAATACAGCTTACTGGCCATGTTGTTTTATTCTGAGATATTTAACAATGTACAAAATTTGAAAATTTTTATTGAGACTTCAGTTTTCACGATGTAATGTGAAATATATGAATAAAATATATTATAAAATAAGTTGTAAATTTCTTCCTATATGTTACAGTTATTTCACCTCAATATTGTGAATAGTTCATTAAAGCTTAATTTTCTAAGCAAATATTATAAACACGTGAAATTGCAACTTTTTCATTCTATAGTCTGTTTTGAATATGGAGTGTTTGTGAGGTCAGTAGGCCCTTTCCTAGAAACTCTGTTACTTATTTACTTTATAGAACTTCTGACTAAGGAAATGTATAAGATGTTGCTTTGAACATTGCCATAATAATAGGTGTTTCATGCTTCTTGCCATACAGCTATAAAGATGCTCCAGGAGACAAGATGTACAGACAGGTTTTAAGTTTTATTTGGTGAACTGATGGTCAAGCATCGGTCTTAAAATGGGTGAAAAAGCTTCATAATGGGACTAATTATTTTTTGATTGACAGGTTGTTTATGTGTAATGATTGTATACATATGCTTCTAGTTTAAATTATTTACCTTCATTTGAAACTATATTCCAAAAATCATCACTGTTGAAATTCACATAGAAAACTTTGTACAATATTAAAAAAAATCTGGCAGGAATTAGTTGTACTGATGTTTGTTTTTTTCAAAATTGTTAATTTACACAAACTATAGATACATAAATAAGTGGTTTATTTCTCTGTTCACATAGTGTCCATTGTGAACATAGTGTCATTACAAGCATTTTGAAATCATAGTCTATAATCTAAATAAACTTCATGGGATTTTCATTTTCTTTAACTCAAGATTTATGTAATTGTAATTATTAATTATTTCCAGATTTCTGAAAAATCTTTTACTAAACACAGTTATATATACTTTCTTAGCAATTGACCAATGAGATTTTTTTATTCTTTTTGATGGTTATAACGACTGAGTGCCTGTTCAATGGTACATTAGTAAGTGGACAATGTAGCAATAAACTGTCTCAGGTTTCTTGACCTGATGGTGTCAAGAATGGGACATTTCTAATTAGGACTCATTTGTCGGAGTGATAGTTTTCTCGTAATACGTAAAAATACAAGAAACCCATCCGCAATCACTATGATCTCATTATGCAAGAGAATTCAGCATTTTTACATATGTGCTTGTACTTAGGAACTTTTATTGTGCAGGAATTATAATTTTGCAATTGGTATTACATGATCATGGCTGAGAAGGAACTACAAACACATGCTTGTTTTCTTCATGTAACACAAACTGTATTGCATAATGGCTTACGAGGCAACACCTTTCATGCACAAGGTATTTTACATTAATTTCCATCATTTAAAACATTCTGAATATATATATTAATAGAAGTTGATCTTGAAATACTAGATTACATTTACAACAAAATATGCATACAGCATTTATTGTTCTAATAAAGTTGTGTAGGTTCACATTATTCTGAACTAAAACTCAGAAAATAATTTGCATTTTTATGCATACTTCATTTATTTTCACTATACTTAACTAAAACATTTGGAATAAAACTTAGTTTTGACATCAAAATATGAGCTTCACTATACAATGTAACTTGTAAGTATGATATATTTATCATAATGTACAGTACAAATAACAAACCAATCTATAAGTAACAGCCTAAAAATGTGAAAAATCACATTACTTTCAACTACACTTCAAATAATACAAATCATATTGTTCTGAAATCAATACTACTAAATTTTATTGAGCAATTTTTTACAGATCACTAATAAATTTGAGAATGCCAATCTATTTGTCAATGCTGTTTATTATTACCAAATCAATTTTTACTGTTACCTGTTGTATTTTTCAAAAATGTTATGATTGGTTTGTATACATTTCTCAACATTAGCTCAACCAATTGTCAAGAAAGATGTTCTAATTGAAACAATAAGTTACATGTATGTCACGTGGGAGCTTCCCACTGAATATGTGACAGTACTCTACTCTGCATTAGACTCTGCCTTTACAGTGGACAACAGACAAACTGCAGCATAAAATATTCATGCATTGCTGCCATCTAGTGGTGTAAATCAGTAATTGTTAGCTCTGAAGGCAAATCTTAATTATTACCCAATTTTTTAAATACTTCTGTTGAATATTTCTTTTATATTATATTTAATGATATTCATCTTATTTTAATAGTTCTCTTTAACATAATCAGATCCTGATAACATTATATTATCAATATTACAAAACCAGGGACAAAAATTGTAGCTTACTTTATCTGTTTGGTAATGTTCAGCAGCTTCATTATTTAATGGATCATCAAAATTGAGTAAGTCCTGAAAGGAGAAGTTCATACAAAATCTCTTCATAAAAATGTGGGATTCGCTATATCAATAAAAGTTACTTTTAAGAATGATTTTAAATTTTAATACACCACATATCAAAACTACTCACAAGATGCTTTACTATGATTTTTAATATCACAATAAGAAAGTGTTTTAATCACTTCTTTCAAACAAAATATTTAATGTTAGAGAATACCATATTTTCAACTGTACACAAAGGATGGTTTCTTGCATATTCATTACTTTATAATAAATTAAAACAGATACACACACAGACACTAGAAAACCTTTGGTTGTTTTGAGACTTACAGTAAAAAGAGAATTCAGTCCCCACACAACGTCCTTGAGTGTTCGAGTTGGAGCCCACCCTAATAAATAAAATATCACAGAAAATACAGTTAAAAATCATAAGACATCCAAATGTTTCTTTATAACTGAAATACTCAATTCAACATAGACACAAATATATTAGAGCAATTCTATTGCTATATTGTCTCATAAACAATTATTACAAAAGGCTCTCATTAAAAGGCAGAAAATCAGTGTTAAAATTTCTGACATAATAAACTGACAATTTTTATTAAGGTTGCAGTCCAGATGTGTAACTGAAAATATGCAATGAATCTCGTAATGCTTTTTAATTATAAACATAAGGATTTATAAACGTCCTTTCAAATTTCAAAATGTTACCCCAAACAAAATCACTATTTTAAGTCTTGTTTTATAATTATTTTTTTTTATAATTTGTTCACTTTACTTAATTTAAGGTACATTACATGAGAAACAGTTTTACAATGAATTACCAGCATCTGCAAAAGCACAATTTGATTGATCATTAGTTGCGGCTTCGCAGTACATTTATAAATAAATCCTTTCAAGTTAAATATAGAATCATGGCTACAAAAAATGGATCAGAAGTTTATACTGAAAATCCTATGCAAATGATACTAAATTACTGTGGTACAAAACACTGCCCATTCTTCACTGTTCAAAATGCTCAATTGTTGCAAATGTCTTTATAGATAATATGACCTACATATCAGCAGTATTAGTATGCAAAACCTTTTACTAACCACTTCAAAGACGTTTTATTGCAAAAATAAACTTGCTTACTAACCCATTCCATCAATAGAATTTTGACGTAGTAGGCTAAGGCAGATTTCCCCTCCTTCATTAATATTAGGATGCCATAACCTGGTCAAACATTTGACAATGGGAGGCTGAAATGAAGTGTTCAAAATAGATTCTTATAAATGTCATTAGGTCAAAAAAGAAGAAAAGATTAGTTTGTTAAAACCACCAATACTGCAGGTGAATCAAAAGTAATTAATCAACCAATCAATGATTTCTCACACCTTATTTGGCAAATAATGATGATACTCAAAAGATATTTTGTTAAACTGAGAATGACTAACAGATTTATATCTATGTCCTTATCAAACTGATAATATTTATACTATGAACAGAAAATCCTACACAGTGAAAATAAATTATCTTGGTGTTCTACTTGCTGTTGCTATTAATAAGGCAAGTAAAATTTTAGATTGTATCTACAGAAATATCGAATACAAGCCTAAATAAGTTACAGTTTCATTCCATAGGTCACTGATTATGCCACATTTGAAGTATTGTGTTCAGTATTGGGCTCCTTACCTTAAAACAGACATTGAACTGTTGGAAATGGTTCAGAAGAGGGCTACTAGGATGATACCTGAGATGGAAATGTTGTCATACAAGAGCAAGGTTAAGATCTTTGAAATTGTTTTCTCTTGAAAAAAAGAAGAGTTGGAAGGGATCTGATTGAAATGTTTAAGATTGTTAAGGGAATTGATAGTGTTGATGCATCATTTTTTCTCATACTTAATGGTGTGAACGGTATTTAGTTATTTTCTAATGGAGTACTTGGCCTTTGGAAAAGGTTCCTTTCAGATCTGGTGGAAGCAGTAAATTTCAGGAATTTTAAGGGAAGGCTTGATAAATACTTGAATGATAAGGGCTGATTTTCAGGTTTTTTTTTAATAGTTTACTTTAGTAAATGGGACAGACTATACAGATCGACAGGTCTCTTGTTGTCCTTAAATGTTATATCATCCAAACACTTTTGTCCCATAAAGGACTAATACTGATTTTGGCTCATTATAAAAATGAATCATGCATTAGATACACAAGTTGAAGAAAATATATCTTAAAAATATCTTGAAAAATAAGATGAAAAATAAACATGTAAATTGATAAATTAAAATTTAAAATCCTAATCATCATCTCAACATAGTCACAATTATTCTCTTTTCAAAATGGCCAAGAGAAAAATTGTATTAGACACTTTCTCACTTATCATCCTGTTTCATTAAACTTCACACCATATTTTAACTCATTCAATAAGTGTTACTTTAGCAATTTGCTAATTTTATCTAATCAAACTTTCATATCCAGCACTCAAGTTGTAAAAAAGTTAACATGGGGAACTCCTGAAATCTATTGACAGGGTTTCAGTTTTCTTTTCTTTCTGTTAATAAGGAAAAGAACATTCCCCTCCATCTCCCCTTAATTCAAGCACTGATTACAAAATGCAAAATTTCAAATAAAAAAATAAATGAAAAGTGACAATAAATTCTCAAATGGCAAAACATACTCTCAAAACAGGAACAAGTTTTCTATAAAAGAAACAACTTATAAACAGATTTTGCTTTATGGCTGAAAGAAAGGAAAAGGTATAAAGGGAAATAAATATGGCAGCACACTATGAAACTTGAGAGGGTACATGCACTAAATTATGACTAATTGTTGGCTGAGTCTATATTTCACAGTCAATTTTTAAATAACCTGCACATTTGAGGGAACTTTGAAAAGTATCCAAGTTTCTTGTGAAATAATAAATACCTGACACAATTTTAAAGCTCAAGATTTATAAGAAAAAATTACTAAAACCTACACCTAGGTTTGAAACTTTCAAATATTATGATTCTAAACAAAAAGATTAAATATAACAACTTTTATGAATTTTGATTCAACTTTCCTTTCTAGAGCTACTTTACATGATTCATAACATGATAAATATTTTTGGGTAACTAGATTAGATAAAATATCACTTCATGTTCCTTAACCATCTTCTTAAATTGGAAACTAATGCAATAATAATTCATAAACTTACCACCATATTGTAATCTTCTGGTATGTCAATTGTAAAATGAAATTTCCCACCCTGCCAGTAGCCTTCATCTGGGGATACATTCAAATCAAACTTATGTAGTTCATTTGGGTTTTCAAAGTTGACTCTACAGGTAGCAGGCAAAGTAAGCTCCATTTCTTGTATTTCTGTCATTAATAAAACAAGTTCTTTATTGTATTATTTGTACAAATATCTATCACAAGGTCCAATGAATTGAATCAGAAACACCCAACAAATGTAAAGTTCCATTCATATGAGATATAGTTACAAGTTATTTCACAATTATTCTAGACTTAGAACACTGTCCCCCAGTGGGGCAGCAGTAAGTCTTCAGATTTACAATGCTAAAATAAGAGGTTCGATTCCTCTCAGTGGACGCATCAGATAGCCCTATGTGGCTTTGCTAAAATAAAACACACACACACACACACACTTAAAACATTCAACAACTCACTGTAAACTACCATGAAATAAAAGTTCTTGATTTCTGCTCAAAAGTTAGACTAGTTTCATTAAATCCTGAATGATAATCAAAAGTTCTGTTTGTTACTTGCCGAGTTCATCTAAAAGTTGAGCTTGATAAAAGTTTTTAAAAACACAACAAATAATATCTTAGCTATGATAATTTATGTTCCTGAACAAAAAAATGCTGACAATACAAAAAATGTAAGAATTATGTGAATTGTTTTTTTATTTCATAAAATTTAATTCACTGAAAGAAATAAGCATAAAATATAGCAAACACTTTATGTGATTAAAAAATTACTTATGATTACCAGTATATCAAGGTGTCAATAATAACTTTACTGTATTATATTTATGTATCAATTAATTAGTATTCATACTATTATCATTCATTATATAAAACACATCAAGATGTATAAAATTGACACATAATTCAGTCTTTACAATGTATTTATTTTACCAGCACAACCTACATGTAAGGATTACTTCTACACAAATATTAAAATATTACACAGAAGATACTGGAAAATTTTACAATCAAACTTAATATATACTTAATGTTAACATATATTCAATCTCCTTTTTACAAAAGTCATCACATTTGGTAAGATAGATAATAAACTTATCTATGAAATATACAGCAATATCATACGTGAAAGTGTCCAAAAATCATTTTCAACTAAAACAAATTTATTGGCTGGAGATTTGTGGGGCCTAGGAGCCCCTCAAAAACTCTGGGATCATGCATGTTCTCAAATGCATTCTGAGCCATTTTGGATATCTTTCAGCATCAAATTTTAAATTGACTTTTAGAAAAATTCAGAAATTATTTACAACTTGTAATGTTACCAGATGGACCAACCTTATAATCACACAAGGCTAGTTACATTTTTAAACATTAAAACTCAAACTTTTTACATGTAAGCCCAATTAACTTTTTAAAACGTCAGTTGTACATAAAAAAGATATCACTGAATTAACTAATTATGACCTTTTTCTTGTACAAGTGAAAATGGTTGGAAGTTCAAACCAATCAAGATTAGAACAATGTTGGTAATAAGACACAAGGTGTTTATTTCACAATAAATTTAAATCACGTGATGTAATCATGTCCGGAAAAGGTCATTGTGATGAATTTTTGTCTACAGATGGAACACTTTCACTCACACAACACTTCCTCCACAATGTCTCAATATGTTGACAAAACCATGACAGATATAGCTAATACTTTACTATGTATTAGGTCATCAAGAAACTAATGTCACTTTTTAGATGATAAAACCCGAACAACTTGTA